AACATTCGCCATTCTCTCAGAGACTTGGCTTTAAAGTGATGCTTTAGCGTCCTTTCCCTTCTGGGCATCGTAAATCTCGGTTTTAAGCATTTGCCTTCGGAGGATAACTGTCCAGGCTCCGGAGACTTCAGTGACTCCCTCTGTGCATCTCTGTCCACAAACCTTCCAGGTGCATTCAGGATATCTGTTTTAGCAGAAGCTTTGGATTTTGACAGGACTAAAAATAGCTCCCGGAGAGTCTGGCTATTAGAAAGAACCTTTCCGGGCGCGCCTGTTCCCTGCGTGCAGACTAAACTTTTAAACTTTTGCCCCTGTTTCATAGCATAGCCAGAGGCTCAGTGGGAGACCAGGGACCAGTGTCCTAAAGACAAGGGCTATCCAGAGCAACTGGGTTCGTTCTGTGGGAGTGCATCATGCTGGATTGGTTTGGAGGCAGCTAGCTTCGGAAGTGGATTCTTGAGGTCACAGGCTGTCCGATGGCTTCTGCTTTCTTATGACTTGATAAACTGCTGACCCAGCAAGAGCTCCTGTCTTTAATGGCCCTCTTCAGGCCTTGCAAACCCAAGACCGTAACGTCCTTTGTGAAGTGAGTTCATCTCTTGTCCTGTCTTCCTCTTTTCCTACAGATTCCCGCTTTTCCTAGCATCGTTGTTTCCTCTGTGAGTCTTCTCATGATACACTGCAAGTATGATAGGTTAGGTTTAGTCATGTTTGCTTGACAGATTCCCGCTTTTCCTAGCATCGTTGTCTCTGTGTCTTCTCATGATACGCTGCAAGTGCGATAGGTTAAGTTTAGTCGTGTTTGCTTCTAAGGAGAGTCCAGACTTCATTTGATCTAGAACCCATTTCATTGTCTTTCTGGAGGAGTGTGGTGTGCATAAAGCTCTCCTCCTGTGTCCCCTTTCCAATGAATCAATTTTCCCCCCATCAGCTTTCCCAGTTGCACATGGCAGTCAGGAACAAACACCACAGTGTAGACAATCTTCACCGTTGTCAAGGATCTTTTTTAGGTCCTTCGTAGCTCCCCTTCGAAGCCTCACACTTCTTCTGTTGGATGAAGTCTTGGCTTCTTTTTCATCGATTGTCATGTGTTGATCCAAGCCAGCAGTTCCCATCGTTGGGTTGCCCAGATGTTCTTGAGCTGCAACTCCCAGAAGCCTTCACCCCTAGCTGCGCTGACCAGGATTTTGGGAGTTGCAGTCCAAGAACGTCTAGGGACCCAAGCTTCGGAGCCACTGATCTAAACCATGAGCCTAACTCTGCGTCTTCATCTGCTGTAGCCCTTTGGAGGGCTGCTCCTTTGTCACCCAATTTATTTGCACCACCGTCCTAGCCCCTCCGTGTGCCAACTCTTCAGCGTCCCCACCTTCTTGAGGTTTCAGCCCGTTCTCTGCTGTTCACCATACGTGACTCAGCGGAGCTTAATTCTCAGTCCTTTCCTGGTGGGAATTCGATGAGTTGTAAAATACGAAGCTGCTCACTTCTAGTATGGACATCCGTTCATGCCTGGATGGGAACACAGCTTTATCATTCCCCTCCCGTAATATAGTCACGGGCTAATAACTGAATGATTCTGAATGCTGCCAAAGGGAGGTGGGCTTAAACTTCAGCAAGATGTGCCGTGTAGGAAAACAGCCTGGCTCCTGGTTTCTTCACCTGACATATGGAGTGTGTCTACATTCTGCAGTTGGAGCCCCAGTTTGAATACCTGTGGCTCCATAGAAACCTGCCGTTTGTAGTCTGGTGAGATGGAATTCTGCGCTGGGGAGCCCACTTGCAGAATTCTGCGAACTGCGCCATTTGGCGATCCCATGCCTTCTTTCTGAGACTCCTCTTGGCTTTGTCGAGGGCCTCTTCCCTTCTGTCTTGGATCTCTTCAGATTGCTGTGCAGAGACAAATGGGTTTCGTCTCCCACTTCAGTTCTCTCCCCTTTGCTCTTCAGCTCCCATCAAGGCCCGACTCCTTGTCAGGGTCGGGTGGGAGACATAACAGAACAGAGCCTAAGCAGCTTGCTTTTATCTGCAAATTGTGCAGACCTCTGCTTGCCGTCAAGGTCTGTTCTTGTAGTTTTTATTCCTTGAGTAAGATCCTCCTTCCCATGCAGGACATTTTGGCCCCCAACCAAGGTCGCCAAATGGGATCTTCGCCATCACTCTGTGGGGGAATTTGCAGAGTTGTTTGAAAGTGGAGTCCTGGATGAAAGACGTGTGGCTTTGTTAGACCACTGACCACACTCTTTGAAGAATCTCGGGAAAGCCTTGGTAAAAACATTCCCTTCCCTCAAACCTCTCCCACCCCCACCCCAAAATATTGATTGTTCTGATGGGTTCTTAAAATGGGTGTATTATTTTTTAAATGGCCAGGTTCCCATCAGTTACATAGGGTCCAGAATCCTGTGCATTAGTTGCTGTTATTGTTCATCATCATCATTATAGAGCTCCAGAGCTTGGAAGGACCCTATTCATTGGGTGGGGGGGATTGAACTCCCTCCACAACCAGAGATCTAAGCCACTGAGCTGTCCTGTTGTCGTTGTTGTTGTTGTTGTTGTGATGTTAAATTAACAATTAAAAATACTGATGTATAGGTACTGAGCTGTCCTGTTGTCGTTGTTGTTGTCATTGTTGTGATGTTGCATGATGTCAAATCAAAACTGATTGTGATCCTAATAGGGCTTCCAAGATAATTGTTTTAAGGAGTGGTTTTACCAGTTATTCATTCATTCATTCATTCATTCATTCATTCATTCATTCATTTAATGTAATCTATTTTTACCCCACTTCTCTCCTTAAAATCTTAACACGGCGGGATAGAAATAAAATAAATAAAATAAAAATAAATGTTGTGTGATGTCAAATCAGAACTGATAATAGTGATCCTAACAGGGCTTTCAAGATAATTGTTTTAAGGAGTGGTTTTACCAGTTATTCATTCATTCATTCATCCATTCATTTAATGTAATGTATTTTTACCCCGCTTCTCTCTTTAAAATCTTAACATCCGAGTAGGCTCATAAAGGGAGATGCAGTCCTTGAGATCTCTTGGACCAGACTGAAGTGGAATCCAGTTCCTCTCCCCCAATGAGTTTCCACATCCGAGTCGGGGAATTGAACCCTGTTCACCAGCATCCTAGCCCATCATTCTATGCAACATAGCACGCTGCGTTAGTTACACTGGTGCAAATGCCTTGGCATAGATTGCAGCAGGCCGAGTTGCTCGTGAACAAGTTGCCCCTTGTATACCTTGCCTAGTGGCCAGTTGTGTTGGAACGGATGCATGGTGAGGGATCTAAGTGGCGGCTCATAAAGAAGCATCAGTTTAACTCTGCAGTTTATGCAACCAGTTGAACTCTGCAGATCTGTGCTGTTTTACATAATATGGGGCATAACAAACCGGTAGGATTCTGGCCATTACAATATAAGTAAATCTGGGTAGGCGAAATTGTATACCTTGCCTAGTGGCCAGTTGTGTTGGAACGGATGCATGGTGAGGGATCTAAGTGGCGGCTCATAGACAAGCGCCAGTTCAACCCTGCAGTTTATGCGACCAGTTTCAACTCTGCAAATCTGTGCTGTTTCACATAATATGGGGCATAACAAACCAGTAGGATTCCGGCCATTACAATACAAGTAAATCTGGGTAGGCGAAAAAGAATGAGACCAGCTTAGTTAGGTGTTTACTCTGCAGGGGTTCAGGCAGGAAGGTCTCAGGAGGTACCAAAAAACGTATGTGGGTCACTTTGTGTGCAAACTGTGCGTGGGCACTCCCGTTAATCCAGGCTCTTTCCATGGCACCTGCATTTCTGCTGCAAGTTATTTTTGCAAACATGATAAGGGAGACAAACACTTCCCAGTGGATGCAGGAACCGGTTTGATGAGGGTAAAGGCGCTTTTGATTGTATAAGATGAGGGCTTGGGACAAGCAGGTTTGCATCCTTCCAGAGACAAATACCTGTAGGAAAGCCACAACTTGCTGGCACCACATTTAAATATTCTCTGAATATTTTTTTTAGCACCCTGGCGGAGTAGCCAGGCAGAACTAGGTGTGCCAAATCCTGGCTACCTGCTACGACGATGCCGCTCCCCCTTTCCACGTGGCTGTGCCAACGGGAGGACTCTTTTAGATGGCTTCACGTCTAAGAAATGATAACTAGAGCCAGAGTCTTACCTGGCTTCTGTCCTGGGCTTGTTGGTGGACAGGGGCATTGTGTGAGCCGGGGATCCACTCTTAGGTTCCCACATCCGCGATCAGATGGACTGACTTGCTGAGTATGGATTCTGGTTGCATGGCGTACATCAGTGGTCCCCATCCTTGGGGCCTCCAGATGTTCTTGGACTTCATCTCCCAGAAATCCTGGCGAGCAGAGGTGGTGGTGGTGAAGGCTTCTGGGAGTTGTAGTCCAAGAACATCTGGAGGGCCAAGGTTGGGGGACCACTGGGCCATGCACGATGCGCTTTGGGGGATGCAGAACGGGGAAGGCTTCTGGGAGTTGTAGTCCAAGAACATCTGGAGGGCCAAGGTTGGGGGACCACTGGGCCATGCACGATGCGCTTTGGGAAATGCAGAGCGGGGAAGGCTTCCAGGAGTTGCAGTCCAAGGACACCTGGTGAACCACGGCTGGGAGCCCCTGCTCGAAGGCACGGCGTTTTTGACGGCTCTCCCAGCAGAGGTGGTGGTGGTGAAGGCTTCTGGGAGTTGTAGTCCAAGAACATCTGGAGGGCCAAGGCTGGGGGACCACTGGGCCATGCACGATGCGCTTTGGGGAATGCAGAACGGGGAAGGCTTCTGGGAGTTGTAGTCCAAGAACATCTGGAGGCCCAAGGATGGGGGACCACTGGGCCATACACGATGTGCTTTGGGGGATGCAGAGCGGGGAAGGCTTCTGGGAGTTGCAGTCCAAGGACACCTGGTGAACCACGGCTGGGAGCCCCTGCTCGAAGGCACGGCGTTTTTGACGGCTCTCCCCCCTCCCGTCTGTTTTGCTTCTCTTCCACTCAGCAGCTGCTGCCGGCACTTACCTGCCCCCCCTGCAGCAGGTTTTTCAAGCCCCCCGCCGGCCCGGGATAGGAACGGTGGGAAAGCCGATCAAGCTCTTGGCCAACTACTTTGAGGTGGACATCCCGAAGATCGACGTCTACCACTATGAAGTGGACATCAAGCCGGACAAGTGCCCTCGTAGAGTCAACAGGTAAGGCAAGTATTAGCCTTTCGCCGTTCCCTCCCCCACCCCTCCTGACCTATACTGTCCACCCCCCCATGAGTGGAAAGGAGCCAGAGATCCCAAGAGAAAATGTGCTTGGTGCTTCATTGTATGTATTTATTTACAGTAGTACACACACACAAACACACACACACACAGAGATACTGGAAAACGTGGATTACAGCCAGCACTATATGCAATGTGGTCCTACCACTATGAAGTGGACATCAAGCCGGACAAGTGCCCTCGTAGAGTCAACAGGTAAGGCAAGTATTAGCCTTTCGCCGTTCCCTCCCCCCCCCCTCCTGACCTATACTGTCCCCCCCCCCATGAGTGGAAAGGAGCCAGAGATCCCAAGAGAAAATGTGCTTGGTGCTTCATTGTATGTACATTTATTTACAGTAGTACACACAAACACAAACACACACACACAGAGATACTGGAAAACATGGATTAGAGCCAGCACTATACGCAGTGTGGTCCCTGGCTCCCTCTAGTGGCCCGTTCTGCTAATTTCATTCTTAGAAATGTGTATGTCTAGGATTTTTCTTTTAATATTTTTAATATTTTCAGACCATGGATAAGTGACTCTGCAGATACTGATCCCAAGAATAAGGGGGTCCTCCTGTATTTATTTTTTGCACACTTTGCCGCTGACATTTGAGAACTGTTTGAGCACACCTGTTAGGGCGGCTTGTTTTCTTCCTGTTCAGCTTTGCCTGTGTCTGCAGTGACGGCTTTCACATTGGTGAGAGAGTGGACTGCAGGCTGGCATTGAGATGCCAAGAGAAATGGCTTTCGGGTGCCGTCTCTCTCTCTGTCTGTCCGTCCGTCTCTCCCCCACCACTTCCTTCTGCCTGAACCCTGCTGATTCTTGCACCATCTCTTCTCTTCCAACCACCAGTGTTACCTTGCGTGGGGGTGTGTGTGTTTTCCTACGCTGCTCTGCTTACAGCAGCTGTGCGATGTTGGCTGGGGTCCCAGGTTTTTAAAATAGCTGTCCTCAGGCCTTTTGGCGATCGTAAGGCTCTTTCAACCCGGCTCCCTTGGTATGAGAATTCGGCATTCTCTTCCGTGCTTGTGGGACACATTTCTCCTGAGTGGTCTTTGCTTGAAGAATTCCGGCAGTCACAACAAGAGTTGGGCAGATGGAAGCAGCTGCTAGTGGAAATTCCGTCTGTCTGTCTTGTGTGTTTTCCTACGCTGCTCTGCTTACAGCAGCTGTGCGATGTTGGCTGGGGTCCCAGGTTTTTAAAATAGCTGTCCTCAGGCCTTTTGGCGATCGTAAGGCTCTTTCAACCCGGCTCCCTTGGTATGAGAATTCGGCATTCTCTTCCGTGCTTGTGGGACGCATTTCTCCTGAGTGGTCTTTGCTTGAAGAATTCCGGCAGTCACAACAAGAGTTGGGTGGATGGGAGCAGCTGCTAGTGGAAATTCTGTCTGTCTGTCCGTCCATCCATCCATCCTTGACTAACCCATCCATCCATCCATCCATCCATCCATCCATCCATCCATCCATCCATCCATCCATCCATCCATCCATCCATCCATCCATCCATCCATCCATCCATCCATCCATCCATCCATCCATCCATCCATCCATCCATCCATCCATCCATCCATCCATCCATCCATCCATCCATCCATCCATCCATCCATCCATCCATGTCTAACCCATCCATCCATCCATGCATCCACCCACCCATCCACCCACCTTGCCCTTGACTAACCCATCCATCCATGCATCCACCCACCCACCCAGCCACTCACCCTGCAGGCAGGCGTTGCATCACAGCCTCTCCCAATTTGAAGAGACCCTTGTTCAGCAGGCCGAGACCAAGAGGCAGTCCCGAAAGCAGCAAAATCAGGGAGCTGGACAGGGGACAGACCGTATCTGTCTTCAGTGTGGAAGGGACGGCCACTCTCAAATTGGCCTTCTGGTCCACACTAGACGCTGTTCCACGTCCTCCATACAGAGCACGTCACCATAGCCATCCATCCATGCATCCACCCACCCATCCACCCACCTTGCAGGCAGGCGGTGCATCACGCCCTCTCCCAATTTGAAGAGACCCTTGTTCAGCAGGCCGAGACCAAGAGGCAGTCCCGAAAGCAGCAAAATCAGGGAGCTGGACAGGGGACAGACCGTATCTGTCTTCAGTGTGGAAGGGATGGCCACTCTCAAATTGGCCTTCTTGGGTGGGGTGGGGAATCTTAAGTTCTGTCTTTTTTGAAAGAAACGTAAAATGCTCCCCTGCTTCCAGAGTGAAGGGGCCAGTTTTCTGTCTTTTCCCCTGAGAGGCCACGGGTTCTTCCTTGAGATCGATGCTGCTCTCTGCAGTCCAGCCCTTGCTTGGACCGCCTTTCCTCTCTAAACTGCAACCCCTACAAATCACATCTGTTCTTTTCTCTTCCCCTCCTTCCCCTTCCCTTCTTGATCTTTGCAGGGAGGTGGTGGAATATATGGTACAGCACTTCAAACCTCAGATCTTTGGAGACCGGAAGCCGGTATATGATGGGAAAAAGAACATTTATACAGTCACTGCCCTGCCGATCGGGAATGAGAGGGTAAGGAGGTTAGAAGGGGTGTGCATTTTTGTTTTTTAAAGCCGAGAGCGCTCGCAAACGCTCCTGTCGGGCCCTTTTGTCAAGAAACAACCAAGAATTGAAAATTCACCTACGTCGTGGTTTTAAGAGAGGTAGTTTATCTGTTTGAGTGACAACTGAAGCAAAACAGTTTTTCTTTGATGAAAATCTAGAAAGTGACTCTCTTAGCCTCAAAGTTGCCAAGTTTTGTTGTTTATGCCATGAGTGAACATTGGAAGCCCATTGCAAATGCCTGTTAACTGACGACTGGAGATTAGAAGATCATTTCTTTTATAAAACGGAACTCAGGTCAGTGGGCTTCGGGAGTCAATCCAGCGACAGATCGACTGAAACAGACCGGCTTTCTTATATGTGTCTCCCGTGTCTGTCTGTGTCTCTTAAGGCTGTCTGAGGAGCTCAAAAAGTTGTGTTTCTCCTTGGTCTTCTCTCTTTTCCAGGTGGACTTTGAGGTGACCATTCCAGGAGAAGGCAAAGACAGGATATTCAAGGTTTCCATCAAGTGGATCGCCATCGTGAGTTGGCGGATGCTTCACGAGGCTTTGGTGAGCGGGCAGATCCCGGTTCCTCTGGAATCTGTCCAGGCTCTGGACGTCGCCATGAGGCACCTCGCCTCCATGAGGTAGCTTTTTCTTTCTCGGCTGAGGGTCTCCGCCTCTGAGCGACTGACTGGTCAACCTGAAGGGGAGGGTGCAAAGGAACGTAAAGCTACATTTGCTTCCCACCCCCCTCCACTTCCACGTGCACATAATATCTGTTGAGCTAGCGTGAAAGAATTCTCAGCAATGCAGTTGACTCTGGGTGCAACCACGTCTTCGCCTTTATTCTTTCTGTTTTGTAAGGGAGACAAATCTCTTGACAAAACTTTGTTGTCCGGAATTCATAGGCAAATAAGTTTTTTTTTAAAAAAAGCCCTGAGATTCTGTACATTAACCGATGTCTACATTTTTGGAATGTAAGGAAAGGTTCTGTGTTTTTTAGAAAGTTTCTTTTTTAAACAGTGGCTGGGATCCAGTTGAAAATTTACACCAGTGTAAGTCCACTTTTAAAAATTTCAGTAGCAAATTGCTACAAATTGCTACAAATTAAGTCAGTGTAGGCACTTGCTGTTGCACACCAAGTCACGGGGCTGTTGTGTGGCAGCTGATGCTTACTCTGACTTCTTAACTTGTGGCAGTTTGCCACTGAGATTTACACTGATGGCCTTAACGCTTGCGAGCAAAGGTAGCAGTTTTATGATTTGCAGGCTCTCTGTTATTAGCTTTAAAAATTGTATTTTAAGGATGTAAGCTGCCTTGGGTCCTTTTTAAGGATAAAGGTGGGATAAAAATACTAGATCGGAAAAGAGAGCTGAATTGCAGGTGGTCAGATTTCTCAGAGATCTGAGTTTTGGGGAACACGTTGTTTTGTGTCTCAGCCTGGATTTTGTGTGCTGAACATTTGCATGGCTTCACGATTAACGTCTCCCCCTTTTCTTTGGGCTCTGCAGGTACACCCCGGTGGGCCGTTCCTTCTTCTCTCCCCCTGAAGGATACTATCACCCCTTGGGAGGCGGCAGGGAAGTCTGGTTCGGATTCCACCAGTCTGTCAGGCCGGCGATGTGGAAAATGATGCTCAACATAGATGGTAATGCTGCTTGTATATACTTCTGCCGTTTTGTTCAGAGCCTTTATGATGATAAAATCTCAAAAGTGCTGAACCCGTATAGGAGAGCTGCAGATGATTTTAAAAATCCATATTTTTAATGATTCTTAGTGTTCCGTACTGCTTCTGGTGAAAGGTCTAGATTAATTGTTCCCCCCCGAACACTGGTGCATAAGATTGTGGTAACATTCGAGTTTGTATCGAGAACTGCAAGCAGCAGTTTTCTGATCATTTGGTTTATGTGGAGTAAAATACTTAAATTCTGGCTGGAACACTCTGTGGTTTAGGTATCTGGCTGTGGAGCCAGAGGTTGGGAGTTCGATTCCCCCACTGGGTGCCTCCTGGGAGAAGAGCCAGCCTGGGTAGCCTTGGGCCAGCTGCGCAGTCCCAGGGTGCCACCTAGAGGAAGGGAATGGTAAAGCCATTTCTGAGTATTCTCTACCTGGAAAACCTAAACAAAGGTCACCATGTCGGAATTAACTTGAAGGCATGTGATTATTACACTAGGAATGCCGTATCCACGGGATCAGTATCCACAGTTTCACTTACCTTCTGCCCGAAAATATTAAAATAAAAATATGCCTTTCCAAGGTGTATTACCAAAACTGGCCACTAGAGGCAACCAGAGACTATGCTCTTATTTAGCATTTCTATACCCACATTTTTGGCTTCTGCTCCCCCACGGATACTGTGGTCTTACTGTATTGTTATTATTATTAAAATACTTAAATACGACATATAGCTGAGTATCTAGGGTGCGAGATGATAGGGTTTGGGTTGCATCTGACAAAACCTATTAGCCAACTCCATGGGAGGGAATAGGCGTGTCCCCTGCTCGTTGGGTGAACCTGTCATGTTGTTGCACGGAGAACCAGAGGGCGTGATGTTGGATTTGGCACCTCCGCTGCCTCGGTTGGACTGAACCCTTGTGTCTGATCTTCCCCCCCCCCC